TCCTAGATCCCTTTCATATGTAATCTCCTTAAGCCAGGTGTCCCCCATCTTATATCTATGCATTTCATTTTTTTGCCCTAAGTGCAGTACCTTACATTTCTCTGTGTTGAAATTCATTTTGTTAGCCTTGGCCCAGCTTTCTAATCTATTAAGATCATTTTGAATTTTCATCCTGTCCTCTGGGGTATTAGCTATTCCTCCTAATTTGGTGTCATCTGCAAATTTGAGAAGCATGCCCCTATTCCTCCATCCAAATCATTGATAAAGATGTTGAAGAGCACTGGGCCTAGGACAAAACCCTGTGGCACCCCACTGGTCACTTTTGTTCAGGATGAAGAGGACCCATTGCAGAGACCCTTTGCGTTCAGTCCTGTACTACCTGTACTACCTCTTTACTTATTCTGTGCTGCATTTCCCCTATTGTGTCCTCTGCTACATTTTCCTCATTGAAAACCCTTTTCCTTTTGTGTGAAGACTGAAGCAAAGAAAGTGTTGAGTAGTTCTGCCTTTTCTCTGTCCCCTGTTAGAATTTCTCCATCTTCTCTGTACAGTGGCCATACCATTTCCTTCTTTCTTTTGCCATGGACATATTAAAAAAAAACTCATTTAATTGTCCTTAACCTCTCTAGCAAGTCTGAGCTCATTCTGGGCCTTTGCAGACTGCCAGAAATAGTGCAAATTGAGTCCACTTTAAGGGTTAGGGTTAGTGCTAGGGAATCATGGGAATTGCTTTTTTTCCTGAGACATTAAGCCTTCTCTGTCAGAGAGCTCTGGTGCCACAATAAAATACAGTTCTCATGATTCTCTAACCCTAACCCTAACCCTTAAGTGGACTCAATTTGCACTATTTCTGGCAGTCTGATCTGTGCTTCGGCTTTCTTGGCTTTCTTACATGTGCTAGCTATTTGTTGAATTCCTCTTTAATGATTTTGCCCCTTTGGGAAATGCGAATTCTTATACATCTCCCATATAAAACGTAGTTCAGTTGAAAGTTCTTTTGTCATCCAAACTGGTTTCTTGAGACATCTCTCATTTTTCCTTCTCATTGGAACAGTTTGAGATTGTGCCTTCAGTATCTCCCTTTTGAGAAACTCCCATCCATCCTGAACTCCTTTCTCCTTTAGTATTCCTGACCATGGGATCACTCCCAGTGTTTCCCTAAGTTTGTGGAAATCAGCTCTCCTAAAGTCTAGAATGAGTGTTCGACTATGCCTAGCTTCTCCTTTCCACTGTATAAGAAACTCCAGGAGAACATGATCACGCCCAACTACGGATCCCACCACTTGCACCCCATTTACCAGGTCATCCCTGTTGGTTAGGATCAGATCTAAAATAGCTGATCCCCTTGTTGCCTCTTCCACCTATTGGAAAAAGAAATCAATTTTGAGGCAAGTGAGGAATTTGCTAGACCTTGAAGTATTGGCTGACTTTGACTTCCAACAAAGATCAGGATAGTTGAAGTCACCCATCACTACTATATCTCTCTTTTATGAGTGTGTGGTCATCTGTTCTAAAAAGGCATTATCCAATTCCTCAGTCTGACTTGGGGATCTGTAGTAGACTCCTACTGTAACATCCCTGCTGTTTCCTTCCCCTTTAATTTTTATCCAGATGGTCTCCACTTGATTTCCAGGAATTAAGTCCTGGATCTCTTCAAAGGTGTAAACATCCCTGACATATAATGCTATTCCTCTTCCTTTCCTGTTTGGCTTATTTCTCTTAAATAGGTTATACCCCTCTATTCCTACATTCCAATCATGAGAATCATCCCACCAGGTTTCAGTTATGCCTATTATATCATATTTGCTTTGTTGTGCAAGGAGTTCAAATTTATCTTGTTTATTTCCCGTGCTCTGTGCATTAGTGTAGAGACATCTAAGAGCATGTGTCCTTCCCACTTGCTGCCTGTGTGAGGTTTTTTCTTCCACTGTTGTGCCCTTGCATCATTTGCCTTGTCCCTTCCATAACACTTTTATTATTATCTCCAGCCCATGATGTATTCCTGCCTTCCATGATACCTTCCAAGATACTGTCTCCCTCCCCAACATGACTCAGTTTTAAGCCCTCCTGATCAAATGTTTGAGACTCTTGGCAAAAACAGTTCTGCCCACTGGTATGAGAGGCAGCCCATCTCTTCCTAGAAGTCCACCCTCATGGAACCGCAGCCCATGATCCAAGAATTCAAATCGTTCTTGGTGGCACAATCTACGGAGCCAGTTATTCACATCTACTATCTTCCTCTCCCTTCCTGGACCATGGCCTTCAACTGGGAGAAGAGATGAGATAACAATCTGTGCGTCCAGCTCTTTAAGCTTCCTACTCTTTGGGTCCCCTGCACTGTCCCTGCTACTCTTCCTCTTCATCCTTGATAAGGGAGAGAGCTTCAAATCGATTCTGTCGCTACAAGCTCCCAAAATGATCCATGGTTTCCCTACTTCTGTGTATGACATTCCTCCAGGTGTCCATCTCCTGTGTGCATGAAATGACCTCCTCCTCAACAACTTCCTCTGTGTGGTCCCCATCCAAGACCGCTCTTTCCGCTTTATCCAGGAAAACCTCTTGCTCCCTAATATGCTGAAGCATAGCTATCCAGGCCTCCAGCTGCTTGACTTTCTCTTCCAAGAGGGCTACGAACTTGCACTTGGTGCAGATGAAGTTCCCCACATCTCTTGGCAAGAAGACAAACATCCCACAAGTGTTGTAGGTGACTGAAGCAACTCCCTCAGTGTCCATATTGAGAAATCTGAAGTAAGCAGTGGAAGAGGACTGTGGCTTTTCCCTCAAATAGTCCCCTGGTAAAGACCCATGTAAAGGGCCCCTGTGCTCTTGGTCTTTTCCCCAGGCTCTGTCAGTGAGCTCAATCAACTGTGTTTCTAACTCTACAGAGAGCTCCTGGATGCTACCTTATTCTGGAGGCAAGTTTTTGTCTCTCTCCCTCTGAGCAAAATGAAACAGTAAAATGAGTACCCAGCTTGTTGGGAGCAATTAGCTTACAGATTGTAAACAACTTAGACAGTACTGAGAAAGACAACCAAGATAATCAAAAGTCTGGAAACTGGGCCGTATGTGGAACAACACAGGGAGCTGGGTATGTTTAGCTTGAAAAAGAGAAGACAGAGGTGACATGATATCTATCTTTACATATCTGAAAGCATGTCCTGTAGAAAATGGAGCAAGCTTGTTTGGGGTTGCTCAGAGACCAGAGGGTTCAAATTACAAATAAAGAGATTCCACCTAAATATTGGGAAGGACTTTTTAATTTTAAGAACTGTTTCAGAGTGGAATAGATTGCCTTGAGAGGTGGGTAGGTTCTCAATCTTTTGAGGTCCTTAAACAGCAGTTGGGTGGACATCTTTCAGGAGTGTTTTAGTTGTGTATTCCTTCATGGTAAGGGGTTGAACTAGATGGCTTTTATGAACCATTCCAAGTGTATGATTCATGTAACAAAATCCCCAGATTTTGTGACCCCCAAAGCATAGTAATGGGTGTGTCAAACCAGAATGCATAGGAAATCCTCAAATCTAACATCCAGTTTTCTCCAAACCTGTGGCAACATTTTGCAATAGTTTTGCAACAATTTGCAACTCAGGGCCTCGGCAGACAGCTTATTAAGCCATCTTGGAGGCATGAAAGAGGAGGGGCAGCCGCACGCTCGGCGTCCCTTCCTCCTCCCGAGGTTGCCCTTGAAGCTGCCGGCCCTCCGCATGGCCGGAGCTCTGGGGGCAACCTCCCACTGCAGTGTCTGCACACACTGTGGCGGATAAGTCAGCGAAAGTGCACCTCACGCTTTTGAGGTGCTACTTTTGCTGACTTGTGAAAGGAGCGCTATTTTAGGGCTCCTTTCAGGGGCAGTGAAAGTGCAGCGCTGGATCGAGGTGTGGGGATGCCTCGATCCAGTGGCGCACCTTCCCACGGCGGCCCAGAGCCTCCAATCTGCTTCCCCCCAAACATCTCACATTTTTCAGTACCCCCAAAACTGTAATGAACGTCTCAAACCAGGGATCTTGATAAACCTCATAATCCAATCTTGAATGATTCCCTCCAAGCTTGTGCCAATGTTTTACATTTGCTTTGCAACATGGGGTGGTGGTGGTGGTGGTGGCACATTTTGCAACACCAAAAAATATATATATATACTCAGACAACTCACCTCAGCACGTAGTAAACATCTAAAATTCCAATGTTTCCCAGTTTTCTCTATGTCTGTGCAATTTTTCCAGTTCCATCAATTGCTGTAAATGACATACCCAACAATTTTGTAGTGGTTTTGCAGGATTTTGCAGTGTAAACTTTAAATTTTGCAGACTTATCCCAAACCGTATAGTTTAAAAACTGAAGAGTTGGCCTAATTGTCCAGTTCACTTCTCCCCAAATCTATGCAAAAGATTTCTTGAATTTTGCTGGCCAACCCTGTTGTTCAGCTATTCAATCAAGGTTATGTTACTGACCTACTAAACAAGTCTGCAGCACTTGTGTAGCACAAACTCTGCATTTAGAAGCACCAAAAAATTGTCTTGATCATCAACCTGTCTGACAATGTGTGGTTTACTCAAAATGTGTGCTAAAATATTGCTATCATTCACCAGCATTCTGGAATGCAAAGCTTTCATTTTGCCACCTTTTCTGCAGATTGTGGACAGAAGAAAGCTGTATTTCACATCTATATTCTATGCAGAAGCCCTTGGGCCCTAATATTTAAAATTTATTTTTGTTCTGCAGTCATAGTGATCATTTGATCGAACAGTATAGAAGCAGTTTTCTTTTGGGACAAATTCCTAAAAAATATTTACAGAGGTGAAAAGAGATTGCAATAAAATTTTGAATAGTATAGAGCAGAAGACAGAAACCTCAGATATTGAAGGACTGAACTTGGAGGGCCCCATTTTTCCACTTTGTTGTTGTGTGCCTTCAACTTATGGCAACCCTAAGGTGAACCTATTATAGGGTTTTCTGTGGCTGAGAGTGTGTAACTCGCCCATGATCACCCTATGGTTTTCTATGGCCAAGCAGAGAATTTAACCCTGACCTCCAGAGCCATAGTCAAAAGCTCAAACCACTACACCACGCTGGCTCTTCCACTGTTGTTATGTACCTTCAAGATTTTTTCTGACTTACAGTGACCCTAAGGTGAATCTTGGAAAGGGGTTTTCTTGGAAAGATTTATTCAGAGAATGTTTTTGCCTTTTCTTTTCTCTGAGGCTGAAATAATGTGTCTTGCCCAAGTTTTCCACAGTGGGGATTCAAACCATGGTATCCAGAACCTAGTCTAACACTCAAACCACCACAGTACACTGGTTGTCATGGCTCTTCTGCTTTTGTTGTTGTTAATTGCCTTCAAGTCAACCTCAACCCATGGCAACCCTTTGTATGAAACACCTCCAAGTCACCCTATCTTCAACCACCTTGCTCAGCTCCTGCAGATTCATGGCTGTGGCTTCTCTGATTGAGTCTATCCATCTGGAATGCATTCTTCCTCTTTTCCTATAGTCTTCCATTTTAGCAAGCATTATAGCCTTTGCTAGTGAGTCCTTTCTTCTCATGTTATGCCCCCCAAAATAACAACCTCAGTTTAGTCATCTTTGCTTCCTGGGAGAGTTCTAGCCTGATCTACTCCAGACCTCTTTTGGTCTTTTTAGTGATCCACAATATTCTCAGAACTCTTTTCCAGCACCACATCTCAAATGATTAGATTTTTTTTTTTTTTTGGCCTCCCAGCTTTCTTCATTTTTCAGCTTTCACAACCATAAATAGAAATGGGGAGAACAATGGCCTGAACAATCTTGACTTTGATATTTAATTATATATTTTTAAACAACAGGATCTTATCTAGTTCCTTCATAGCTGCTATTCCAAGTCCTAATCTTCTTCTGATTTCTTAACTGCAGTCTCTGCTATGATTGATGATTGAGTCCAAGTATGGAAAATCTGGGAATATTTTGATCTCTTCACTGTCTACCTTAAAATTATGTAGATCCTCTGTGGCCATAATTTGTTTTCTTGATGTCCACCTGTAAACCTTCTTCTGCACTTTCTGCCTTGACCTTCTTTAACAATATTTCCATATCTCTGATATTTTCTGCTAATATTATGGTGCCATCTTAGAGACCTCAAGGACCATTAAGTCCAACCCCTGCTATGCAGGAACTCACAATCAAAGCATCCTCGACAGATACTGACTCAGCCTCTGTTTAAATACGTCCAAAGAATGAAACTCCACTACACTCCAGGTGAGTGTGTTTCACTGTTGAATAGCTCTTACTGTCAAGAAGTTCCTCCTAATGCTGAGGTGAAATTTCTTTTCCTTAGCTTCCTTACGTTATTCCATGTCCTATTCTATGGAGCAGCAGAAAAATGTGTCTTCTATTCTTCCTTCCAAGTTGTTGATAAAGATATTGGATAGCACTGGGGCCAAGACAGAACACTGTAACACCCCACTGGTGACTTCTCTCCAAGATGAAGAGGAGCAATTGCTGCACACCCTTTGGGTTCAGCCAGTCAACCAATTACAAATCCACCTAACTGTTGCATTGTCTAGTCCACATTTTATTAGCTTGTTTGCAAGAATATCATGGGGGAACTTGTCAAAGGCCTTAATGAAATCAAGATATGCTATATCCACAGCACTCCCTTCATCTATAAAGCTAGTAATTTTATGAAAAAGAGATCAGATTAGTGCTGCATGACTTGTTTTTGAGAAACCCATGTTGACTTTTTGTGATTGTGGCATTCCTTTCCCTTTTTGAAAATGGAGACAACATTTTCCCTCCTCCTCCAGTCTTCTGGGACTTATGTTCTCCAGGAATTCTCAAAGATTATTGACGTGGCTCTGAGATTAGTTCTGCCAGTTCTTTTAATACCCTTGGATGTAGTTCATCTGGTCCTGGAGACTTGAATTCATTTAGAATAACCAGGTACTCCTGTACTACCTCTTTACTTATTCTGTGCTGCATTATCCCTATTATGTCTTCTGCTCCATTTTCCTCAGGTTGAGCACCCTTTTGCTTTTGTGAGAAAACAAAGAAAGTATTAAGTAGTTCTGCCTTTTCTCTGTCCCATTAGTATGTTGCCATCTTCTCCATTCAATGGCCCAACCATTTCCTTTTTCTACCTTTTGCTATGGACATACCCCCAAAAGCCTTTTTTATTGTTCTTAACCTCTCTAGCAACCCTGAGCTCATTCTGTGCTTTAGCTTTTCTGACTTTATCCCTACACGTCCTGTTTCTTTGAATTCCTCTTTGGTGATTTCCCCCTTTCCTCATTTCTTATACATCTCCTGTTTAAAACTTAGCTCACTTGAAAATTCTTTAGTCATCCATCTTTGTTTCTTGAGACACCTCCCATTATTCTTCCTCATTAGAAGCAGTTTGAAATTGTGCCTTCAGTATCTTCCTTTTGAGAAACTCTAATCCATCATGAACTCACTTCTCTTTTAGTATTCCTGACCATGGGATCACCCTCAGTATTTCTCTAAGTTTACTGAAATTAATTTTCCTAAAGACTAGAATGCATGTCTGAGTATGCCTGGCTTCCCCTTTCTACTGTATAACAAACTCCAAGAGAACATGATCACTCTCACCTAAGGATCCCACCACTTGCACCCCCTTAACCAGGTCATCCCTGTTGGTTAGGATCAGATTTAAAATAGCTGATCCC